CCATTCCTGCTGTTTGAATGCTCCAATTCCGATCTAGAGATTCCAGTGCTCCTGAGCCATACAGGGAAAGCGTGTCCCCATCCACATCAACAAGGTGCGTGTCTGTGCCAGATAAGGCTTGTAAAGCATTGTTGAGTACAGAGTCCAGAGACCTGGAAAAGCCAACATACAATTTTAAATGATAGTCTTATCATGCAAAGTAAATAACAGACTATAAAGACCTGTTGGAAAAGGTATTTAAAATTCTATATTCACTTTTTCATTTAAATAATTAAACCCAGAGTACCAAAGACTAATTTTCAGTAGAATATCTGAAAGTTTTAGATCTTCTGGTCATAGATATTTTATTCTTATTGTTGACACTATTCCAGATGTTCCATTTTCTCCCACCCCCTGTGCCTGCCTCCACCCAGTCCCCACCCCTTTTTCCCTCTGGCCATCACCACACTGTTGTCAAGTGGCTATGTGTTATGGATATATGTTCTTTGACTAATTCCTTCAATCGAGTTCTACCCTCCTCCCCACTTCTAGTCATATACAGGGTGTCCCAAAAAATGTATATACACTTTAACAGCTGATAGATAAATTTTGAAAATGCAATGTACTTTAACAAACACTGCCTTTATAATTATTCAAAATGTGTATATACATTTTTTGGGACACCCTATATTTTAATTAAAAAAGAGGCAGATGTGCATAAAAAAATAACACCTTTAAACCCAAATGTTTTATGTCAATGAAAAATAATTGATATTCTATTTAGTTTTAAAGCAATCCATTTAATGTATCATAGATGTTTTCATGGCAATACAAATAGATTTTTGTAATCTATAAAGTATTCCACTGTCCAGCTGGAAAAAAAACACACACACATTTTACAAAACACTATTTCTATACCAAGAACCATATACTATCCTATCCTATATAATAAAAGGCTAATATGCAAATAGACCAAATGGTGGAACTGGAACCAAAACAACCGAACAACCGGTAGCTATGATGTGCGCTGACCACCAGGGGGCGTGCGCGGAACATGGTGGACGTTGGCCATGACGGGATAGTGGAGCAGGTGAGCAGGGGCACACCCACAGCCGGCGCGGAAGCTGCAGCTCACACCCACTGCCTACAGCAGCCTCGCGGCCCACAGTTCCTTTCAAGGTGCATGAATTCGTGCACTGGGCCCCTAGCAAAAATATTTATAAACACTTGGTAGACATAAAATAACTCTTACATAGTTAATCTCTCAGAAGTTGGGTAAGGGTACTTTCTATTTTAAGGGGAAACTTTTCTATTTTTTTGGAATACTTTGGTTTAAAAATTTTTGCATGGGGTATTCCCACATTTTATAAGCGGGAAAAAATTAATCAAAATTTTCTTCCCCCATTTTTGGAAA